CATTTCGAAGTGTTATACATGACATTTACAGGTAACCAGTCCATTCTCCTCAATTATGGTGAAAAGAGTTACAGGTCAACGGAAAGAAGAGATCAACACAAATTTTACAAGGCTTAGAAAACACAACCTAGGAGGAAGCGGTAGGAATCTGGGCTTTATTTATCTAGAAAAGAGAAAACATCATAGATATATGAAAAGTATTTTCCACTACACAGATTGTTCTTACACAGATGAGAGTTAACTGTGCTTCTGTTGCAGACAGAAGAAAACATTCCCAGACTTCAGGCTAAGGAATTCCAGGGCAGGATTATCACTGCATCCTTGTCCTGCTCCTATACGCTTCTCTGAAGCCTCTGCTATTGGCCACTCTTTTGTAGAGAATGCTGGAACAGCTGAGCCTTTGGTCTCAGCAACATAGTCATGCTTATCTTCTTAAATCTGCTTAATTTGCAGCAGAGAATGTTTATGAAAAATTTCCTAGTTTTGAGGTTAGTTAATTGCCCAAAGAGGCCACCTAGGGAGACTGTGAAATCTCCATCATTAGAGGTTTTAAAGAACAGATTATACAAACAGCTGTCAAGGGCAGCTCAGACATACATGATCCTGCCTGCAAGCAGAGAGGTGGACAAGGAGACCTCCTGGGATCTCTGTCTAGGATTATGCCCCTCTTCTGAGCGTGCTGCTTTTGGCTGGAGCTGTGCAGATGTCTTCTTTCAGCTATACCTTCTGCCACTGGTGGAGGCACTGGGTGTATAGCGGTACTGTCCATCTCTTTCCTTCTCCAGCATCATACTTTTACCAAAGGCCAAGAGATGTATGTGAGATACGGCTGTGTCGCACTACTCCTGAGGTATCACACATAGCAGGCAGAAGATAAAGAAGTTTGGGAACTGCTGAGCTGGGGACTGGGCCACCACTTTCCAGACTCATTGCTGAGGAAGAGCATCGGTGTAAAGCCAGATTTGCCCTCACCCATGGCCCAAGGCCAAGTACAGCCCAACTGGCCTGGAGAATGTAGGCCAGTGGCAGGAGCCATTCCCTGAAGACTCAAAAGAACATTTGCCCATGCAGCTTCGCTCACTTCATTTGCTTCCCCGTACGTGGCTAACAGCTTGCAAACTGGCAGCAACCCAGCAAGCAGAGGGGAAGACAGGATTCTTGCTAGACACACACATTTGCCCTCACATGTGCTTACTTTTACAAACCATAATGTTGCAATTCCTTAATTCTCGTATCTCCATACCCAGCCCAGTCACAAAGCAAGCATTTTGTCCTGTTAGAAGGAGAGCTCCTAGTCCTGAAAAATCACAGGTTGCTTGGCAGTATGAAAAGCATCATGGCTGCAGGCTCTGCGTGTGGTACACACTTGTGCCATTGGTCTCTGGCTTTCAGGGAGCAACTGTTGTGCTGTCACAAAAATGCAAAGAAAGAAAGGAAAGAAATCAAATATTTACAGGAGGAAAAGTGATCCTACCCCACATGGTACAAATTTAGGGATGCATTGTAGCTACATTATGTGCACATAGCTACTGAAACAGTTTCCAGCAGAATGTTTACACAGTTGTCTGGAAGCATATTGTTTGCCTACTTTTCAAAGTCAATTTATATGCAGCACACGTAGCAGCATGCATGAAAATTCAGACAAAAACACAGATGCATGCAACAATCCCTGGCCAGCTCTTGCTGCTCTTTATTGTTTGTTGCTCAGAAATACCTGGGAGAGAGGAGAAAGGCAGCAACCCCTTGTGCTAGGAGCTGTACTACCCCAACCTAAAAGACAGGTATTACCCTTGAGGAACATATAATCTCCATTTAAGACAAGATACAACAAGTGAACGTAACAGAGAGTGAGGGAGTGACATACGGGAATGAATAAGAGAGTTTATAATTGCCAGCTTTATGCTCTCATGTGCCAGCTAATAGAATATATGATGCAAATAAATACCAGTCTCCTACTGAAGGCACCAAGTTAGCTGCAGTCAGCTGGCAATTTATCAGGAGCTTCACAGAGAAATTCATGAGAAGTTTAGAGGAGCCCAGGGAAGCTGATAGATCTTCTTGGAGAGGGCATCCCAGAGAAAAGTGCCAGTGTGGGATAATGGGAAAGGTGTATGAAGACGGAATAGGAGGATGCAGGAAGTTGGCATAGTTTAGGAAGCAAAGCAGGGAGGCTCAGGTTAACACGTTTGCTGAGAGGGAAGGAGGTAAAAGTCTAGGACCAAAGAATAAGGAACTTGTATCTAACAGGATATCAAGACAGGCTGAGAGAGTTGGGGTTTTTCAGTCTGGAGAAGAGAAGGCTCCAGGGAGACCTTATAACGGCATTCCAGTACCTCACGGGGGTCTGCAGGAGAGATGGGGAGGGACTCTGCATCAGAGAGTGTAGTGACAGGATATGGGGTAATGGTTTTAAATTGAAAGGGGAGATTCAGATTAGATACTAGAAAGAAATTATTTACTGTGAGGGTGGTGAGACACTGGAACACCAGAGAAGTTGTGGATGCCTCATCCCTGGAAGTGTTCAAGACCAGGCTGGATGGGGTTTCGAGCAACCTGGTCTGGTGGGAGGTGTCCCTGCCCATGGCAGGGGGGTTGGAACTTGATGATATTTAAGGTCCCTTCCAACTCCAATCACTCCATGATTCTATGATTCTATGTTAAAGAGAGGATGCAACCAATAACGACTGCAAAAGGCAAAAGAGAATGCATTTGTCACTGCACTTTGAACAGACCTGGGGGGAAATGAGGTCAGTGGATGAAAAGGATCTGAGTGAAAATTGTGTCACTGAAGGCAAAAGCAACATCAAGAAATGGTGTGGAGTCACCAAATCAGTAACAGCCTGTGCTGGGAAGCATGGGGGGAAGTCTTCTCCAAGTCCAAGGAGGAAGGAGAGGAGGAAACACCCCCTCAGACAAAGCAGAGTTAGCTCCAGCTACAGGAGAGGGGGCAACAGGAACAGCGAATGAAGCCCACCCAAGGTTGTGTGCTGGGGACAGCTCAAGAACACACCAGCTCTACTGAACCACCTTCGTCCTAGGCCTGAAAGGACAAGTCTAAGGGAAGAATTGAAAAGATGTATTACACCCTCTTCTTGAAGTGCACCTTTGCAGAAGGTCCCTCTCTCCCCGCTTACAATCGTTGCGGGGATCAGAGCTGAGTCTCCCGCCTTAGGTGCCTCGAGTTAGGTGGTGTGAAAACCACTCATCAACGAAATTGCATTGAAGTCCCTGTACTGCAGTTCCCTGTGTCACCGTGCAGACAGATGTCCTCTCCTCCGGGCTCTGTGGCAGGTACTATTTATGTTCAATATTGTTTATATACCCCAAAACCTCTGCGGGGAAATGCCAAATCAATAGGCCAAGAGCTGAAATATAGTAATTTCCTGCCTTTTATTTTTTTGCTTTTAAAAGGACAACAGTCTTCCTACAACTCTGCAAAGCTTCTTATAACATCAGCAGAAGCACTGCCAGCTGCCAGGGCTCCAGAGGCACTTATGCACCTCACTGCCCACCCTCCTGGGGTTCCCCACCATCCTGCCCAGGACCAAGGACCCCATGTCAACACCCAAGGACAATCAGCACCTGCCCCAGCGATGACACAAAGATGGCCGGTCTCCAGCTCCCCACAACCCTGCCTTGCCCAGCCATGGGGCCCACTGAGCCAAGCCCACCAGTGGGCCCATGTCGCAGCCCAGCCTCAGCATGTCCCTGTCCCCAAGGAGGTGTCCAATGCCCCAGGCTGGGGCAGCCCCAGTGCCCCCCCAGCCACCCTGCTCCTGGCTGGGGCCATGGGGCGGGCCCTGTCTGCCAGGCCCTGCTCTGATGGAACCCAGGGGAGCCCCCACTGCACCCTGGCACTGGCTACCTAAGAAATACTAACACAGAACAAAGCTCAAAGGACAAGCTCAACCTTGCCAGAACCAAAACATCCTGACTGAGCCCCTCCACACAAAGTGTTCTAAGGTTTTTATAAGCGCAGGGATGTTTGTGCTTTCCTTCTGATGCTGAGCTACTGGTGTCTAACCTGATTGAGTTTCATCTTCTCTGCAGCGACCATTGTGTGGTACCCCAATGAGACGGCCACTGCCACTCTCTCCCCACCTCTGGGCTACCTCAGTGAGGTCCAGCTGTAGCCCAGTGCCAAGTCACACAGTGTCTGGGCAACACCACAACCAAGGAGCCATGGGATAGTCATGGCATCCCCACCTCCACCACCATCGGGGGTGCCTCCGGTCCAGGCCAACTACTGTTTCCAAAGGGGAGAAAGCTAGACCATAAGGACCTGCCCCCAGGAAGGACCTGAGAATCACAGTCGATTCACCAGAATTGGTCATACACATGCTAAAATCAACACCCTCCCCAAATGGTGGTGAGCTGAGGAGCCCAAAGGCCCATGCTGACAACATTTCTTGATAATAAGTGGAGAGCTGCTCACCTTCCATGACCCACGCACAGCTGTGGAAGGAAAAAATATTTTTTGCAGTATTTTCTTCTTCCTTTCTCAGCCAAATCCTTACTTGGGCTGTTAAGGATTATTCACACAGCAGCCCTGCCTGTGCTGACTGATCAGATTACTGCACCAATGCCTCCATGGCTTTCAGATTCATTTCACAGGTTTCCAAGAAACAGATGCTGATACCTGATAAGTGGCAGCACCTGGCTTCAAAACGTGTCATCAGTTCATCAGCCTCTGATGTCTCGAGTAGCATCTCAGCTTGGTGGAGAAATGTTACCCTAACCAGCTAATATATTTCTGTGTGGGGAAATAAAGCTCCTCTTGTTGTACCTGTTGACATGCTGATTCACACCTTTGCGTTGTTCCCAGAGCTGTTGAAGCACACGGAGCCCAGCTGAGTGCAATGATCCCATTTCAGACATTTGGTGCCCTGGCTTCCTGTTGCATCCCAAAAGTTACCTATTTGTCACAAGCAGCTTTATATGGCTCTACACAACAACTGGGATCCTTTGAAATATTCTTTTTATTAAAACAAAAGCAATCATTGATATATGTATTGATTTTTATTATCAGAAGACACAGACATGCTTGCATAGGTAACAGAAGAAAATGAACTACATGAACTGCTTTCTTCATCATTGTAGAGTTCTGTATTTCAGTATTTCAGCCTGCTGACATGATGAAGGTAAGACATTGATACAGTGCACAAACTCAAAAATTATTACACAATACCCATTTTAAAAAACCCCACATATCCAACTAGTCTGACCAGACTTCTGTTTTCCACAAGACTGCTTACCTTACTGAAAGACAGAATTACCCAGGGAAAAAATTGGACCCTATACTAACAAGGCTCTCAGGAATCTAATTACAGAATGGCAAAAGTGCTGAATAGAGGCACATTAAATCACATGGCTGTCATTCTATGGCAATGCATGATATATACCTAAAAGCCACTCGTGGCCAATAAAGTCAACGGGAGCATTTGCATCAGCTTACAAGAGCATAAAGGAAAGGAAAACAGTGTTTCTTGCCCTGTACTGCCAGGAAAATAGAGCCATGGTGACCACAAAACATGGCTAAATTGCATTGAGACCATTCATACAGCCAGGTCTAGGCACCAGGAGTTGCTAAGGGCAACAGAGTGGGACAGAAAGTAAGATGGTGAAAGCTCTGCTGCCAGTTTTGCCCCCATAGTGACTCTGGGAAGGCAGCCTGGTGCTATGGCAGTTTGGGAGAGGGCTGAGCCGAGGGAAGGCAGCTACAGGTGGTGCCCCAGGGGTGGCTGTCCCATTGTGTCAGTGATGGCAAGGGCAGTGAGCTCTGTCTCTGCCCAAATTCCCTCTCTCTCCTATCTGTGGTAGGGCTTCAAACATCAAAGTCCATTTCTACCCTCTCCTCTGAATCCTTGAGCCAGATACTACTGCTTCCACCTAAAAAAAATGGGTTGCTGTCTTCCAACCAAGTCTATTTCCTATACCGTTTTAATCCTTCTACCAATTTCTCTGAGGTCTCAATCCACTCTGCTGATCAGTGGAAATTCATCCTCAGTTTCTGGGTGTCTTGTCTGTGTTACACTGAGAAATGCACATCAGTGGATAATTGTCTTCTTGGTCAGTAGATAGGCTGTGCCCATCAATTTCTGGGAACAAAATGCACTAAATCTGTACAGTAAATCTACCCCCAGTGGCAGGACTATTGTAAAGCACAAAACACCAATGAACACCAATCAAAACGTAAAGAACCCAGTACTGACAGGCACTGCTGCCAGCAATACTACTAATTCCCTTAAAGAGTACAAATAATATATATAACACCATCACCCCGGATACCAGATAGAGTATACCAGACCAGATAAACCCTAAACCACCAATAGCATTGTCTAATTGGATCTCTCATTTCAGATGCTGCCAGTTTTATCACATGCTTATGGCACTGAGATGTTAAGACTGAAAGGTCACATCATATCTTAGAAGGTAACCATCATTGTAAACATACAGTTTCTGATCTGAGGGGCTATAATCAATACTCTGGATTGTAGATAACTTTTTATCTATCATGACACTTACTCTACCTTCTTGGCCAGTATTTGTGTCATACATGTAGAAGATCTCCTCTTTCCTAGTGTTTACTGGCCTTGTGGCATACAGAACACCACATAATATGAAAGCGTTGGAAACAGATGGCTTGTACTGTCTTGTCTGCCAAGTACTTAGCACATCAAGTGTGGTCTCATTGAGTTTGCTAATCACAATGTTGCCCAAGTTATTTTCTGTTGAATATATTACCCATAACCCACTTTCATCCACAGCAAAGTCTATGTCTTGCCATGATACACCTGCATAAGAGAAACGGCTACCAGTAGCAGCATCTGGAAGATCCTTTCTCAAAACATCGGTGCTTGTTTTTATATTATGCTTCACCATTTGTCTTGAACTATAAGCATGATAGTACAAAAAGTTATTATAAAGGGCAGCACCACTTCCCTCCCCATACACTACTCTAGTTTCATACAGGGGTTTAAAGAGCAGCAAATCATCAAAGGAACTATAAATTCTGTAGTATTCCAAGTATCTCCCATCTGTGTTCAATGGTGCAACCCAATAGACTTCTTCCTCTGGGTTAGAGGGAGAGTAATCTCTACCCCAGGAACCGTATTTGTAGGAAAATCCTCTCCAGTTCAGCTTTACAACATAGGGCTGGCTAACATTCAGCAGTCCACGGTGAATGCAGCTACCTGCAATTAAAGAAAAAAAAAAAACAACCAGGTTTTCCAAATGTCATCATTAACAGAGAGGTTTTGCATACTGTAGCCTCTAGAGTGTGCTTACTAGGGATTAGTTTTGTGGCAAGGCAGAGACACAAATGCATAACTCCATGTGTAAAAGGTTCATTTTTTGGCCCAGGGGAGTAAGGTGGGGGGTAAAAAAGATAGGGACATCCATCCTCAGTCAGGATTAATTCACAGAAAACAAGTGCTCACTGTGCTGTTCCAGACAAGGGACAGATTTCTGTTTCTACCCATTTGATGTATGCCAGCCTGATGCACTAGGAAATCCCTTGGAAAATACAATTTCAGAAGCATTTTAGGTTATTTTCCACCTCAGTGGAACTGAGAGCATGGGAGATGGGGAAAAAAAAAGAAAGAAGAGCATCTGATTTCTGTGTATTTCACTGAGGAGGGGAAGGAAGGAGCAGCAGCAGCAGTAATTCCAGAGTCACATTTCAGATTAGCATTCTGCTGTCAGAATCACAGCTTTACAACAGTGTGTCACAGCTGCATGATGCCTTCCACCTCAGACCCTCAAAGAAATTTGCAGACAGTAAGAATCACAGCCTGGGAAGTGTAGACAGATATTATTCCCAGTTTTCGTGTGAGGCAACTCTAAAGAGAATATGACTTCAAGCTGAACCAGAACAGCTCTGTTTTCCACATATCAACTACAAAGTCATTTTCACGATCATGGAAAAATGAGTTTAGATACAAGAAATACTTTCCTTTTACTCATGGTGAATGGCAGTGACATTCCTGTTTCCTGATAAATTCCCAATACTATAAGTCACTGGTGGAAAAAGTCCTCCACTCAGAAATCTCTGTGCACCTCTGATGAGTCCAAAGCTGCCACTGGCAAAAACCAGCATGGTTTTTTTCAAGTGTTAACATTAGCTTTTTCTATGACTGCCACAAAAGTGTCCCAGATTTTTCATTGTAAGGATATGTTCACCTGAGGTAACGGAGACGGAGAAGTCAAGTGACTGGCACGAGCTCACGAGTTCAGTGGTACTCCAGCATTTCCCTATTCGGTGAGGTGCTCTAGCCACTAGACAGCCTTCCTTATGATAGATGGAGTATAACATGAATAGATCCAAGTCTCACACGTCAATTAATGGATAAATTAATGGCCACAGCTGTTTGATGTTAATAATACCTCCCTCAGCACAGGAACTCTGTGCACCACCAGCTATGGCATCGATGATGAAAGTCAAACTTACCTTTTGAGGTTTTAATACTTTCCATGAGTACCGTGTCATGATTGCTTACAGACTGTATGAAAAGAATGGCTGTTCATAAGCTCAGTCATATGAAGGGATGTCTAGCATATAAATAACCTACATCTTAGGTGTACTGAAGACTCCTAAAACCACTGACAGAAAAAGCCTAGGAGATATCTAGTTCTCAAAGGCATCCTGGTCTATCCCACGGATAGAGTGAAATGGCGAGACAGACCAATCTGAAGTACTCTCCTTGGAAAAAGACTGAGAAACAAGCTACTTGGTGAAAAAATAGACTGTTGAAAATGCAGAGAAATCTTCTGATCTAAAGCCCAGGGGGGAAGGTGGGAAAGCCTCTGGGACAGGGAAACCTGAGGCCTGAATGTTAGAAATATCCAAGCAAGGGGGCAACATTTGTGCCAATGTGTAGAGTCGATTTGGCCACTGAAGGTCTCCATGTCTCCTCCTTTCTCAAAATGTAGCATTTTTTTCCTTGAACTACCTAACATTTCATTCTCACTGCTTTGTGCTGTCTTGTGCTTGAGGGACGTGACTCACCTGCAGCCTCCTCGTAACATCTAAGAGGAAGGTGAGGAGAAGCTTTATTTTAAGTGTAAATCCCTATGTTGAGCTAAATTCCTGTGTATCCAGGCCATGCTGGCAGCATCCTTGGGGTCTGTAGTGCCCACGGGAGCAGCTCTGCATCACTGAGTTCCCAGCTCATGGCAGAGAGGATGACGTGAGTTGTGAACAACCCCGTCTCCTCCTCCAGTCCCTTTTGTGTCCTGGGATTCCCGCGGCTGAGACGCGGGATGACCCCGGTTGAACGCTGCTTCCCTCCGTGCCACCAAGAATCGCAGAGAATCATCCTCCCTGGCTCGCAGCAGATGAGCATTTAAGCATGCACTTAAGTGCTTTACAGAGGATGAGGCCCCGGAGCAGAAACCTCATTTCCAAATATAGCACAGGAGGAAGGCTGTGCTGTGTGGCCAGCCAGGCTGCGTCCCTGGAAATGGCACATAGCGTGGCTAGTAACATGGCCTCAGCACTTGGCATGGGGGTCAGCGTTTGGAGGTGCTTATACCTCAGCTCATGCAAAGGAAGAAAGCTGAGGCAGACCGGGCAAAATGGCTTGCAGTCTGCCAACTCCATAAATCAGTTTGAACTGTTTTTTTGGTATATCTCCATTATGTATTGTTACCTCCGGCATGAGGGCTTCTTTCAAGCTGGTGACATATTGAATACATTACTGTGCTTAAATCACAATAAACTTATCTAAGAATTAAATGGTTATTAAATGCTCTAAAACTCTTGATTTGTTTAGAAAAATACAGCGCCGAAGCTTGCAGGTAGTGAAGCACTGCTAAGCTCATCTATATGCGACCTCAAATAATTTTTCATGTCATTAAGCAGAACACAATTTCAGATTTATTTTAATAATTCATACATTGTTTCATAAATAAAAAACAAACGTGTGTTCAGCAGAGAGACCTTTTTTTACAAAAGAAATAATAAATTATTATTTCTTCCCTTAAAGAGATCTCTCTGCTGAACACTTGTTTGGTTTTTATTTATGAAACAATGAATTATTAAAATAAAGTTAGAAGCGTGTTCTGTTTTAATGACATCAAAAATTGTCTGAGGTTTCTATAGAGTATGTGCCCGATTTTGATTTCCTTGAAAACTCTCCCAGAATTATTATTTTTTTTTACCAAAAAACTCTGTGGTAGTCAGGGGGTGATCTGTCTTCTGCACAGGTTCAGAAGAATTCATTGTTGTTTATTTAATCTAAACTTGCCTCCCTGTCTGGATCTTGTGGGGAAAAAAATGCACAAAGGAAACAAAGTGTCATGTAATTTTGTAAATATTAGAAGGTACTTGAAATAAATCCATATGCATTATTCAGACTTTCAAGTTTTTAACTCCTTTCTCCACTCTTTTGGGCCACTGATAAATGATGTCCTGGTATTTTTGCCTGCCTTTGTTTCATGCTTATGTGGCAAATAGGCAAGAGGAGGACTAACATAGGTACATACACACGTACTTCTCCTTCTCCCTACATAAAGAACCAGTATCTCAGCTCAACTGTTTACTAATCCTCCTGTTTCATAAGAAAAGGAGCTGGCACTTAGTTGTCAGGGCTGGAGAGAGCCTGACTTGCTCAGCTGATGGGCTGCAGCACTGAGACGCATCCCATTGGGTCTTGCTTCACTCTGAAGCACTTGTAGAGCACATCAGCTCCTCACTCCAACAATACAAGTGCCAAGAAACCTCCAGTAGCCTCCTCCCCTCAAGCAGCTGCGTCTGATCACAGAAGAGAAGGGATCGCAAGAGGTGGGACCCACATTTAAAGGAACTCCCATGAGGGGTACAGAGACCAGGAGCAGACTGGTGCTACGCTCTCACTCTGGCACTCCCAAGCACCAGATGTGCATCCTCCTCTCTCAACAGATGAACCACTGCATCCAGATGTGTAAGCTGTTACACGGGGGACAGAGCTGCTGGCGGAACGGCTCATCTTTTTTCCTACTGTCTCCCTGACATAGGAAGACCCACACATAGACAGCTCCATCTTCACCAGACACAGGCTGACAACTGCATCAGGGAAGACTCATGTTGTCAGCATCTAACAGGGGATGAGGTGGAGGGCTGCAGTTCATCTGACCTACCTTCAGGCAACTAAACATTCGGGTACCTCACCTAAGCTCCTTCCATTGCCAATGGAGAAAGGCATGCGTCTCCAGGGGCAGTTCAAGCAGTCTTGGAGAGGAGGCACTGGCCAGCTCTTTTCAGATGCCTGTAGGGCATGTCTCTCTCTTTGTGTATGGACATACTCATTTCAAAACACAATCCAGATCACTCAAAAACCTTGGGTACATAGGAGGTAAAATACAAGGTAAAAGTGAAATCACTGTAAGACTCCAATGGGATTGTCTGAGTTTCAGCATTAGGCTACACCAGGTCTTCCTCCTGCGGAGACCTATTCACCAGTAACTTGAAATCCTTAATTTCTAAGTGTAAAAAAGCCAGAAAAATCAGCTTTCCTCTTTTTTTTCCTTTCTTTCTTTTTTTTTTTGCCTTTGAGAGTTTTATCTGACTCACTTCTCCCTGCTGCCTCTCTCAGATCATTTCAGTGAGATGTGACAAAGAATCTGCTGCAGAGTCCTCAAAGAACCATCCTGGGGTCTTTTCTCTCTCTGTCTGCCCTGATGCAGCCAGATGAGATCAGCACCAAAAAAAAAAAAAAAAAAAGGAATGGATAAGTATTTCTTTCCACTGAAGTGATGAGCAGAGAGATGCCAGGAACTGCCACAGATAGGAAAGTAAGTGATGATGAGGAGGATGATTAACTGTATATTTACTGAGACCCATCTCAGACACTCACACCCACCTGTCTGGTGAGAGAAGGCGGCAAATGAAGACCAGTGATTTCTTTCTGCTATGTCACCTGAGAACAGGCCTGCTCGCTCTGAGAAACACAGCAGCAAAAGCCTTGGGGGAGAGAGTCAGAGGGGCTGTGCACTACAGCACTGAGAAGCAAGAAGCTTTAATTAAACTTGCCTTTAGACTCATGGTCTTAGACAGCTTGGGGATTAGCCAAGCTCTCTCTAGTTCATGTTGCCTACCCAAAATATGCAGGAGAGGGGATGAAGGGGGAAAGAAAACGCAGCCTGAAAACAGGACAAAGAGTCAGTTTAATACAAACATAAATATAATATGAACTAAAAGCAGGGCAAGGCCAAATGGTTTGGCAGGAATTCAAGGCATTCAAGCTTGCAGAGAAAACGTATGGAAATTGTGTTCAAATGCATAAATGAGTGCTAGAGAGCTTCAGAGTCCTAGGTGCGAGCATCCATGCAAAGCCTCCAAAATGACCCTCTAGAAAATGCAGCACTCTCACATACTTACTCCATCTCCCCAAGCAATAACATCTTCCTACTACTACCTCTTTTCAGATACAGTCTGCAGGACACGTAATTGCTCTACAAAGTTCTCTGCCCAGGGAACATTTGCTCCCTGCCAGGCACACAAATTCAGGATACACCAGCGCTGTGTGCATTAGCAGAGATCTGAGCCTACACAACACCTGGGTGATCTGTAAAGCTGGCATCTCCCAACAGGTAGGAAACTTGCCAGTCCTCTGCAGTTGCTCAGCCAGCAGTCCTTTGTGCTAGCCTCAGAGGCCACCCTCACCCTAAATCTGGCCGTGACAATAAGCCCACACACCTCCTTCAACCCCTTCGGCATTCCTATTCCTGTGGGCAGGAGATAAACTCACAGACACCAACACCAGAGGATGTCCTCAGTTGATGTCGGTGGTGATAATTCTCTGGAAGTCAGTGGAAGCTATTGTTCATATCACGTGGTGTTTGGGCCTTCTAGGCTATTTTCTGCTCTTTGGTTCTCACACAACGCGGTGACATGCAAAGGTGCCTGAGCTAGCTGGCGCACCAGTCAGGAATAAGGCAACACTAAAGCAATACCATTTTAGTCTCAGATAAACTCTGTCCATCTCCAGCTATTGTTCATACCACGTGGTGTTTGGGCCTTCTAGGCTATTTTCTGCTCTTTGGTTCTCACACAACGCGGTGACATGCAAAGGTGCCTGAGCTAGCTGGCGCACCAGTCAGGAATAAGGCAACACTAAAGCAATACCATTTTAGTCTCAGATAAACTCTGTCCATCTCCCCATCGTGCCCTAAGAAGCAAGGCTAAATAATTCTGTTACGGTCACAATCCTACGCAGTTACATTGACTCATCCCAGAGCTATCATCCTGCTCTGGCCATGACTTGCCAACCCCTGCATGGAGCTGCACTGGGAAGGACAGACATTCCTTTCCCACTCTGAAGGCTCCCACATCCCACAGACGCTTACGCCACCCACGCAGGCATAAAAGCAGTGCCTTCCTCCATCACTCAGGGAAGGACACAGTATTCTTGTTTCAGTACTTTCTCCCAAAACAAAGGCTTGCTGTAGGCTCGAAGAGAAAGAGGCTGTTTCTTTCCACACACCGTCACCCTTAATAAATCAATGAGATGCCCTTCAAATACTTTTAATACATTGCTTGCTTCTTTTTTTTCTTTTTCTTTTTTTTTATCAGTGGTGATAATTCTCTGGAAGTCAGTGGAAGACCACCCTCACCCTAAATCTGGCCATGACAATAAGCCCACACACCTCCTCCAACCCCTTCGGGGTTCCTATTCCTGTGGGCAGGAGATAAACTCACAGACACCAACACCAGAGGATGTCCTCAGTTGATGTCGGTGGTGATAATTCTCTGGAAGTCAGTGGAAGCTATTGTTCATATCACGTGGTGTTTGGGCCTTCTAGGCTATTTTCTGCTCTTTGGTTCTCACACAACGCGGTGACATGCAAAGGTGCCTGAGCTAGCTGGCGCACCAGTCAGGAATAAGGCAACACTAAAGCAATACCATTTTAGTCTCAGATAAACTCTGTCCATCTCCCCATCGTGCCCTAAGAAGCAAGGCTAAATAATTCTGTTACGGTCACAATCCTACGCAGTTACATTGACTCATCCCAGAGCTATCATCCTGCTCTGGCCATGACTTGCCAACCCCTGCATGGAGCTGCACTGGGAAGGACAGACATTCCTTTCCCACTCTGAAGGCTCCCACATCCCACAGACGCTTACGCCACCCACGCAGGCATAAAAGCAGTGCCTTCCTCCATCACTCAGGGAAGGACACAGTATTCTTGTTTCAGTACTTTCTCCCAAAACAAAGGCTTGCTGTAGGCTCGAAGAGAAAGAGGCTGTTTCTTTCCACACACCGTCACCCTTAATAAATCAATGAGATGCCCTTCAAATACTTTTAATACATCGCTTGCTTCTTTTTTTTCTTTTTCTTTTTTTTTCATTGAAACATTTTAAGCCCTTCCTTAAGGAGCTGAGAAGGGCCTTGAGATTTTGCAAGGTGGGGTTTTATTTCAGCTTTCTCTCCTGCTTGATCCCCCAGACAAGGTGTTACTCGTGCAGCCTGTCAGAGAAGCACAGCAGCTGCCTGCACGGTCAGGAAGCCCTGAGGAGATCGCAGTAGGAAAGGCTGCTGACCCTAGGGGAAGCATGTATTTCTGTCTCTCACCTTTCCAACAAGATGTTTGAAACAGCTGACCCCAAGGTGATGAGAAGTAAATGCTGGTCGGTGCAAATCTGGGCTACTCACAAGCTAGACACCACTCCTCCTTTTTTTATGGGCTCCTGTGGCTGATTGCTAAGATCCTTCCCCTGGGTATTGTATACAGCAGAGCACTTTCTCTCTTACAATACTCTGTCAAAAGGAACCCCCTGTGTATAAAATGCTAGGGGATCAAGACAGCTTGATAAATCCTCCTGTCTGTTAGCGAGTGGGATGCTTGACCTGGCATATCTAAACTACTGCTTCCTAAACAGTTTGCTCCTGTGTCTCATATCTGAATCTCAAAATTTCTCAGACCACAATTCACTTGCAACATGATTTTTCAACTGAACACACCGTCAAGACAGGAATTATTCCAGTTGTAAACTAATTACCACATGCCCTGTGATTGTTGCTACTTTTATATGAACCACACTCTGGGAACCACTGATCTAAGCCCCAGAACATAACCTTTCCTAGTTAAGAAAATGGTAAAAATCCTCTTTCTGTTGAAATCAGTGATAAAGCTCCCACTTATTTCTCTGAGACCAGAATTTTCCCCCAAGGTTCTTGACCTTCTGATTTAGAAGAATCTTTTGCATGTGAAGCAAAAGTAATCTTCATGCAAAGCTACCTTCCAGAGCTTGCATACCAACAGCTTTAGAACATCAACTGTTGCTCATACATTTCCCAAGCAGCATAAGAGAAAAATTGCCATGACACAGGTCACTTTCACAGGAACTATTAAAAATCAAAGCTGGTCAGAAAAAAAGCATCGTTTCCTGCAAAAAAAAAGGTAATTGTTTTGAGAGAGAGAAGGGGGGTAGAGGTTCACTTTTCACACTGCAGCTGAGAGAAAGATTACAACTTTTTCCAGTTGAAAGCAGCTACTGTGTCTGGAAGAGTTGTTCCCTGCCCTCGTTTTCCTTTTGAACCCATTGATGAAACATTAGGAGCTGTCTTCTCAATTTGCCAAGAGCTAAGTGGTATCATTACAATTGTATTTAATATTAACAAAGAAATCTTTGCATTTACTCTTCTGCCCATGTATTATATTGTTTCTTATCTAACATAGAAGTGAAATGCTTACCTGGTGGGAAATAAGGGGGTACTGTAGTTTTGTTTCTGCTCTCTTCACACTCTTTCAATCGATTCTGCAGAGACACAATTTGCCGACGAATTGCAAGGACGTTGTTTTTGTCCAGTGATTCTAGTTCATTTACCAGTATAGTCAGATTTTTGATCTAGAGAAAAAAAGAAAAAAAAAAGAGAGTAAGTTTAAATTTTTGTCAACGTCATTTTATAGATATTTGCAGGCAGGGTTGATCATACCACAGAAGATGCTACAGAACAGGTTTTAAGAAATATCCCTAAGAAAAGACCTCATCCTGCTAGTCTGAACTTTACATTTACAGCAGAGGTATGTGGCCACAAGGAAATGTTTTAACACTCAGTTGTATATTATAATGCAAAAAGATAGTGCTATTTTATTAATAGTTTAAAAGTATCCGGTAAGTTTTAGGCAAGTACTGGCTATTGTACATAAAAAGTTCTCATTCCAGCTTTATGAAGGTATCTGGAAATTTTATTTGCAAAGATAAATAACACTCTCAATCACCTACTTGATGAGCTAGAGGACAATGGAGAAAATGGTATTTCACTTTCAATCTGAAGTAATTATTCTCTCTAGGTGAGTGATTAATTACAATTTTGAAAATGTGATTTATAGTCTGCTGGGAAGGTGATAGTCTTTCCCACTTCTTGATTTCATATTGATTGGGCCACTGCCCTAGCAACCAGAAGCTAATTTTATAATTATCTAAGTTAAAGCACGGAGGCTTTCAAGCATGGGGGTCTAAAAATTAATATTTATTACAATAATTTAATCAGCTCATGTGCTTAATGCTATGCAAAACTGTTAACTTTCAGGCAGATATTTGGCAAAAATAAAGATGTCCCCATTTTGTTTTGGCTTTTTTTTTTGTTGTTGTTTTTCTGTGCTCTATATCAAGGAGAAAGATGTTAATACATTTAAGGTCAAGCTTTCTTTTAATTTATGCTGATGAAATGCTAAAATAATTCCACTGGCTGCAGTAGAGACCAGCTACATTTCCTCAACCTAAACAGTAAAGAGAGAGTAAACTGTTATCTGTATATTTGAATCCTCTGTGGCTAATTAGGGCTTTGGCAATACCTCCAAATATATTTGCTCAACGATGACATTGCTTCCAACAAGGCTGGATTTCAGCTGAGTGACCAGCCTCTCTAGGTCACTGATTTCCATTTTCAGTAACTGGAAGTCCAGTTCTGTGTAAGATACACTGGTGTGCTCCATATGCTCCACTCTGATGGTTAGATTAACGATTTGCTTCTGATACAGTTCAATCATTTCTGAGTACTCTCTAACCTTAAAAAAAAAAGAAAAAAGCACATATTCAAGTCAAGGTTAGCAAATAAAACAAGCCTGTCTGACATCTTTATTATATTTCTGAGTACCCCATGCATAACTTCCACATACTTGACATATATATTCTTCACATAAACTACATAAATGAAATTCTCATCACATACATTAAAAATGTGAAATTTAACCCTCATTTATTGTTGGCAGTTCCACAAAGTCCCCTCAGGAATGCCTGGGGATAACCGAAGGCAGAATTTTACTCACGGTCTTCCATTTTTTTAATTCTTTGCCAATATTGTCTCTGTGAGCTAATTTTATCCTCGATATGCCAAGAACTTACATTGGTGAAAATTTTATTAGGAAATCTGCAGTGTATTATCTCACAAAAGCAACCCGAGAAGGCTGAAAAAATGCAATAAAGGATTCCCAAGTTTTTCAGCTTCACATTTCCCATTAACTCTGAATCCAAATAGGATTTTACCCTGCGTACGTGTGAATTATGACAAAAGTTGGCAGAACTAGTTTGGGGTTTGTCTTTGGGCAGGGGGTAATGTTTAAACACAGTGTTAAAAATCAAATCTGGTTTAAATGAAAGTGTAAAATTTATTGCAGGCTTTAGCTAAAGTAATTTACGTAGCAGCCTTTTCAGCCTTTGAACCATTGAACAGTTGTCCACATAAATATATTTGCACACATGTATCTGCTGAGGTAAAGGTCACAGCACAAGCATCGTGATGCCGGATGTTAAGATTATACGGATTCATGGAATTCCATGGAAAATGTTAGTTCCTTGACATTTAACACTTTGGGAAACATACATCATTCCTCTCCTATATGCTTCATAAAATTCATGCCTGTTTTCCCCTAAATCAATATAATTGTACCACAAAATGTAAGAAGTAGGAATAAATATAATTATTTTGTTGCACCAGTAACTCCAAATTTATACTCTCAGATGGTGTTTGTAGTATAAGTCCCTCTCTTTACAGCGCTATGATTTCCATAACTATTACATATTTGGCTGAAAGATTTTTAACCCATATCATCTCAACTGTTCTTGCATTATCTTAACATAAAAGGAAAGTCGGTATTTTTTCCCATTGGCTCTGAAATGACCTCTAAAATCCTGTCCTGGTATGAAGACCATGGACTCCCTGTTTTCCCTTTCCAGCAGCATTCCCTGGGATGGAGACCCCAACAAACACACTTATCAAATAATTCCTCTCAGTTTTGATTGAATCCTGTGGGTACCACAGAGGAGGTACAGGAGCTCACAACATGGAAATTCATGAAGGGCAGAAAGGATCCTTTGAGATCATAAAATAGTCAGTGATGTGGTTTAAGAAGTAGAACCACAAGTGAGTAGACCCCCTTTTGAAAAGTATAATTTTCTATAGTGGCACAACCACACCATAAATCTGAATTAACCTCTCTGCATGCACATACATAACGTACACTGAAAACAAGGCTGCTCAACCCTGTGCATTTAAATCAGGGTTTGAAACAGATCTTGTGTTCTAAATGTGTGCAGCCAGACTTTGAGCTGCTCTGATCTAAACTGGCACATCTCCATAAGCTGCAGCAGAAGCACCCTGACTCATAAGACTGGATGCTCTAGATCTCCCAGGTCAGATCTGAGTAACTTCAAGCTTAGGAAAAACTAAGCTATTTATTACAATTAAGAATAAAATACTAATAACATATAAAGTCTTAGACCTAACTTCTTGTATAAAAAGACAGCTGAAAGCCCTTGTCCTGTCTGACACCATCATCTGTTCAAGAGGGAATTGGACAATGCTCTTGGAAAAGCCACTCTTTCACTGATCACCAAAACCAGTTTGGAGTTGGAAGATACCCTCGAAAAAAATCTTCTGAAAAGATTCTCCAAAGGTCAGTGTTTAAAATGTGTGCCTAGAGCTTGCACAGCGAAAAAGCAAGCACATATGATTGCAACCTGAGAAGTATAAAGCAAGCCCATGTCTGAAGAAGATCTCACTGCTGTGTGAAGCTACACATATCACAGAGATATTTGGAAATCTATCTAGGTATTAATAACCTTTCTCACAGTAACACTAATACAAACACTAATACTACTGATAATAATAATAATGATGCAATATAGGTCAAATCTACAAGCCGCTGAAATGCTGGAATTAATGATGGCTACTCATTAGTGAGAAACTGTGAATCTGGAGTTTTCTCTAGGGGCCTGAGAGCCTGGACAAAATGCTGGGGGCTGGAACAAGGCACACATAGTTATTTCAGCCCCGCTTGCAGAGTGCCGCAGGGCACAGACCTGAAGTTCTTCTCCCACATCAGAAGGTTTTCACTCAGTCAACCATCTAGGTCATTTAAGGACATGTCAGCCCCATCCAGTGGAGTATAGCTGAGAGATATCCACACAAGTTGAGCCTGAACTAGCCCCAGCACTCTGCAGTGCTCTATACAGCCACACCATCGTCGCAATGAGCTCGAGCTAATAGCTCCCCTGGCGAATTATTGGACAAATATAATTTTCTCAGCAGTGCTGCTCTAACAGGTCTATGCCGCTTTTGAAGACAAATCCAGCACATATGTCAAGCATCGCAATGCCCTGTGTGGACATTCCTGCCTGCTCAGATCTGGCGCAGGAGTTTCTGTAGTTCAAAAATATCGGTTGAAAGAGGAACATGATGTTGCTCTGTTGCTTGGCAGATAGATTTAAGCAGCTTGTAATCCCTGGTCTTCTACTGTAGCTACCTGCTAGGGACTGGCTGTCGTCTCTTGACAGACTGGCACAGAAATTGTGTGCATATCCCATCTTTAGGCACACAGAACAATAACTCGTATTGATTGCTGCCACATTTGTCATAAAAGCCTAAAGAAGGGTATGATGAGTGCTTAGGGCCTGTAATATCTCTTTATAGGAAGAACATGGAGCCATGTGAGGCATATGTAGGAAAAAAAATTCCTCAGTTTCAGTTTTTCCTCCTTTCCAAGCATTGTCACCCTCATGGAATGAAAAGGGCATGAAAAATCTGCAATGCTCATTTACTGTGTCGTTTACTTGCAGTTGGTATTTATCAACACGGGTTTTGCAGCATGCAAACAGACACTTCTCCAGCACGTATTTGGAGAGTACAGAAGGGGGAACAAAAGTGCAAAGATGAAGATGTAAAAGAAAAGAAAAAAAAGTGGGAGGGCTGAGGGAAGATGAGATAGAAGAGACCAAACCAGCAACTCTATAAAGTCACTTGGCCCAGGACACTGGCTTCGGGCAGGCCTGAGCTCTATGGACACATAAGAAGCATAGTTGGCAAGCAGTCTGCAAGCTGACACCGAGAAGAATTCTACTGCAGGTTAACATTTTGAAAACAGCTGTTCCTGGTGGAGGGCAGGCATAGTTTCTGTCTCCTGTTTTTGTTATGTGAGGGTGTTGTGGCTGTTTTGGGCCAAGTTCTGGAAGGCACTTTCTCTCCTTGGGATGAAGTGCCGATCCATCCCTGGTACGGAGGTGTCCTCTCCCCTTTCCTATTGAGAGAAGCAGCCAATTCCAGCTTCACTTTGAAAGGTTAATTTTCTTCTGTAATCATAATTATGCTGGCAAAGGTTGATGTGACAGAGGAAAAATTAGTCTGGTATTTTCAGCCTACGGTTTGTACTCATTTGGCACATGAGAGCATCTCTTTATCAGCGAGCTTCCTTGCCTGCTGATTCTATAAAAGGACCCCCTTGCTTTTTGAATTAGCCTACAATCAGGCAAAAGGTTAACGATTCAATCAGGTTGTTTATCTGGGACTTCTAGCACACGGAAAGCATCCTTAAGAGGGTCCAATCCTGCAGCTCTTACCCTGGGAAAGCTCCCATGAGCTTCAAAGGGTGTTTTAGGAGAGCAAATAAAGAATGGGTTCTCAGAGTCAAAAAAGCAAGCAGCCAGTAGAAATTTCCACCCCTGTGGTGAGATCAGGTTATGTTTGAGCACAATTTCTCAGGATTTTACTCAGGATCATTTCTAATAATGATCAATAATGAGAACTGGGCTTTCCTCCATTTCATTATTTCCTTCTTTCTATGACTATATCACGATTGTGTACAGGATTGTACAAGGAGGGTTGTTTCCACAACTGGAAAGGTGAAGAATTTTTATGCATGGAGACTCATGTATCACAAGATCTGAGATTACTTAAATTCAGATATCAATAGGGCAACGCTTGACACCTTTCTTCTTTCTACAGAAAAACAGTATCATAACTGAAAAATTTTACACACACAGAGTTACATCAAAATGCATTTCTGACCCACAGTATCTCTTTGCCTGGATCACACCAAAGTATATGTCACACTTTATCTAACTAGATGCATTGTAACACTGCTTGGCTGATTGGTCTCGACAGGATGAAATTCAGTGAAGCCTGAGTTAGGTCAGGAATTTTCACTGTCTGCAGCAAGAATTGAAAGCCAAGGTCAGTGTCTACACTGCGTTACACTGCTGGACACCTAAGGATGACAGCATGGGTGCCACGCTAATTTTTGATATCTATAGTAACCCATGTATTTATATGAGCAAGACACACGACTTTGAAGGAGATCTGAGGTTGTCCATACAGAGAGGTCAAGCAGCACTTGAGATGCTTTGCATTTCTTCATGAGACTAGCAGATAAATCACACATCCTAAGGGAGAAATGCACCATTTTGAGGAAAATACTTGTAAGAGACTGGTTACACCAAGGCAAGTGACTGGGAAAGATGGTGCACAAACACCTTGAAGAATCACACCAACTTTCTGGCTAGAAATCATGACCCTGATCCTGTCCCAGAGCAATTAGCTTAAAATGCTGGCACTGACCACAGTGGGAACAGTATGGGGACCTAAAATCTCAGTAATTCTCATGGATCATTAACTCTGAACTACGCTTCCATCCTGCAAAGAATCAGGTAACTTCTGTGCTTCAAGGCAGAGAGACTTCTGTCAGCTTGCCCTTCATATCCCTGCTGACAGCTGCATGTGTTTCATTGTTAGCTCCAGTTCTTTCAAAACAAATGATTTGAACTGAAAGATCTTACCACAGGATCTTCTGCCTGTTGTTCTGTTTTTTATGCACAACTTCTTATCTGTTCTTGATTATACCAGAGGAGGGTTATGAATATTTATGGTCAGAATTTATAATTTAATGCCGTGCCTTTTCTGCTGATTAATTCAAGGACACTTCATTTCTTAAGATGCTTGGTTCCTGAAGAAAACATTTTCTGCTGGACACCTAATCTGAATCCTGAATATTTACCCACTGTCAAAAGTCAAAGACAGACTTCCGTCTTCACAGGCAGCTTCACCTGGTGCACAGCAGCATGTGTGGGTTTGCTTGAGTTCCTCAAAAAATGGATCTGAATTCATGCAACAAGCAGCCAAAGTAGTGTAAGGTGTGTTTGACTTCAACAACAATGCATAATTCAGCAGTCTCGCTGCCACAGCTTCAGATGTTGACAAGGAAGATATTTGGGTTTTTTTATCTTTTTTTTTTTTTAATCTCTGAGAGCAGAAGTGAAGGGACAAATATTCACCTACTTCTTCACTCTGGTCTGTGGTGACCTTTCTCCTCTTTCCCTTCCTTTCCCTCTCACAATCTGGCTGGCTTGATACAAATAATAACACATGAAAGAGCAGGAGGCTTGGCTTCCTGTGGCTCTGTGTAGCAATCACAAACCAATAAAACTGAGCCAAGAGAGGAAAAACATAACCATTCTTCCCAAAATACCATATGCGTCTAGCTACAAAAGCCTAGAAAAGAGACCTAAGGATATTCAAATGTGTTACATACTACAATGTCAAAGATTTGAGATTTAATCACCCTTCTCGTCTTTCTTACAGAACCCTTTTTCCCACTGTTTGAAAGACAAGTCACAGAAAAGCACTGGCTGCTGTACTTTTTCACAGGCAACCATTTTTTTCAGCAAAGATACAATTGTTATATTTATGAGAAAAGAACACCTTACTTTAGAAAGCTCTAACTCAAATTTCTCCGAGAGCGTTGCGGCTATAATTTCCAATTTCTCAGCCTTCTGCACTGGGAAGGTGGTATCCGGCAAGTACACAGAGCACTGGCAAGATCCCCTGTCATCCACAGAGCCAGACACATTGGTGAAGAGCTGCAATGAGAAATAAGCAAGGAAAAAGTGTTAATATTCTTCTCTGAAATCAGGAGCTAACATCCAAAACCAATATGATCTGTGAAAATCATGAGATCAACAACTTTGTTACTAGAGGTCTTTCAGCTTTTTCTTCCAAGGAACTCAAGGTATATAACAATTTTTATGACTTGGCCTTACAAATCTTTCTGAAAATAGTTAAATATTGCTGTAAAGATTCTACCATTGGACAAGCAGAGGCATATAATAGTTCTTACTTTCCCAATCTTGTGGACAATATTCCTAAAATACTGAAGTAACTTTTCCAGAGGATGGAAAAACACATGGAATCACAGAATCACGGAACTGTCAAAGTTGGAAGGGACCTCTAGAGGTCATCTAGACCAACTCCCCTGCTAAAGCAGGAAAGTGGTAACTTAGTAATTCAGTTCTTATAGTTACTGTTCCGTTAATCTGAATCGATCAGATCATCTAGTCATTTCCATCCACAGAGATGAAAGCACCAAAATAGAGCTAGTAAAAGGGAAAGTTTTGAAAAGAAAAATGCTTCATTTAAAGTTTCTCAGTCAGCCCCAACAAAATAGACATATGCATTTCCTTATACACCACTGAAAGGTGATGAATTAAATACACAGGCTCAGCCTCAGGTAGAGATACTTACTTTGCTACAAAATATTGCACTTAATACCCACACACCGCAGCCTGCCCACCCATGTTTATGGGTAGTTTGCAAAGCTATTGCCCATGCCATTAGCATGAATCTCCTTGTCCTGGTAGTCTGCGTGCCCAAAACATCACCATTAGAGCAATGTCTATACTGTATTATAGAAAGGTCAGGGCTGGCAATTCCTGATCTTGCCATAATTTATAGCTAAAGCATATCATTTCCTATAAACATTGGGCTGAATACTGAGTGTGTTTGGAGCAGTTCTTTTTTGTTTGTATACAAAACGTTTCCCTGTTCATAAACCTATCACGAATTTATTAATAAAGATATTTGATGTTACTTTAAAATATTCTGGCACACACTTCAATGCAGTTGCACATTCTAAAGCTACAGACTTGCTCTTTAAATACACTTCTTTGTATAATCTCTCCTCCTGCCTTGCAGAAATCCCGGTGTTACTCATGTGTTTTCTCTTTCTCCTTCCCTCTTAAAAATAAACAAGCAAACAACAAAACTAACTCCTGAAAGCTGACACTTCAGCACTTTTTCCCTTGCTTTTTCACAGTGGTTTCAACTAAATTCCTCACTGCCAAAGCAGCCCAGGATATGCAGTGATGGCCAGCAGCAAAGCTGTCTTGATCTGTGAGCCCAGGAAGAGAGCAGCAGCAGGCAGGAATGATCCCAGTTCACACTTCTGGCAGCCTCTTTACCGCAGCCATAGCAAACAGCACGCATCTCAGTTTTGAAAGAAAGCATGAAAAGGTGTTTTATCTGTGTTACTCAAGTACCATGGGCCTTAAAACTTCTCTCATAGACAGACCGCTGAAGACATTTAATATGAAAGGAAGCAGAGAAGTATCTCGTGGCATTCCAGAACGTCCCAGCACAAAACTTCCATTGATTTCACTGCCAGGTAGGTTACCAAAACACTTCTGAAAATCCCACTGAGACCATGCTGCAAACTATTTGTAAGTTTCCAAGTACTTTTGAAGATATGGCTATCAGTACCTAGATTACTTTGAAAAATAGGTTCCTAAGTCACTTAGAAGCTTCTGCACCTCTAAGTCCTCTGAGTATGGGCATGAAGTATGCCTTTTCCACATCACTTCAATTTAAGAAATGGAGTAGGAGTCAGCAGGTACTTGATTTTCTGAAATCCAGGACATTTATTTAGCTGCCTAAATGTGGACTTAGGGTTACATCCTCAAAACAGCCTACCCATTTCAGTGCCTAATTTCCAGCTACACTGTAGCCCAGTGGCATTCACAGTGCTGAATTAGATATTTTCTCTTCCTAAGACAAAGAATGGGATCCACAGAAACTACACGGCAGGGACAGAGTCCACCTCAGCTGGGCAAGGAGATGGATGAGGTTTGGGTCCTGCTAACTGAGACTCAGAGAGACACTCCTAGCTCCATTTAACTTTCTAAACCCTCTACTGGAGCCAGACACTTAGGTCTCTCTCAGAAGAGGTCCCTTCACACATTCCAGGAGCCACACTGGGCTAGCCTGGACAACAAAGACCTGCCTCAGAGCTGTCTACCATCTCTGACCTGATGTAGAGCTGTGCTTTGGACAAACCCTGTTCTTGATGCTAGGTTGCAGGACCATTCAGAGCTAGTGTGTCCCATCAAATCTATTCCAAAGCAAACATGTTATTAAGCAGTCATTGACAGAGAGAGGGAAAGAAACCAAATCCTGAAATCTGCAGACCATGGACTTGAGCACTGTACCAGAAGACACAGGAATCAGACTCAAGTCCCTCTACCAGAATATAGTAGAATAAAATTTGAGCTAAGTAGAACAGGAAGAATCAAAATTTTCTCCTCCCCAGCAACTACATGAGGGCACTGGTCAGAAAACGGTTTCAAGGCCCTGCTCTGGTTTACATGGGAAAGCAGAGTTGAAAAGAAGTCTTTCCCCTCCTCTAGGGAGGCTGTAACCACCAACTCTTTGGTACATTGTCTTCAAACCCCCACCGTTTCATGTCTGAGATCCAGTTCAGTAGTCACAAGGACAGAGCTTTGGATATATATTTCAGGCACTGAATGACATGGAAGCAGCACTGATGATTTTAGGAATTCACTACTGCCTGAAATCCTGGATACAAAACACCTAAATGCCTTTTCGTGGGCAGCCTAAATGGTGAACACATAGCAAGATTAAATCTCTGAGTGACTATGTAGCATTTAAAAAATTGGACACAAGTTCCTGATTTTGTTTTTTTCTGGACTTCATTGAAGAACAGTAATGGTCATACCTTTGGGGAAGCGTGCAGGACTTCAGTCGTCATGTCAGGCTCTCTCAGATATGGAGTGGTCATATGAGTGGTCATATAAGTGGTCTAAAAAGCAAAGGAAAGGCTTTTCAGGGTGAATTCCTGCATATGGAACCATCCCTTCCCCACCAGCTAACCTCCATCCCGCTGCTCCAAAGCACTTCAGTTTTACTATCTGTAAAATTATCGGCTTTTCTCATCTGCTGCTGAGGCAACTAAGATTTCCCCAGGCAGAGTGTCACTTCATAGACACCTCTTTTTGAAGAAAAGCTCTGCATGACCAGTTCAAGACAGGGGACACTCAGCCTGCCTGGGAGGTGCGAGCTGGGGGGTCTGACAGGCAGCCCTGGCAGATTGCATGGCAGTCTGAAACAACAGCATTGTGCCCCCCTGCCCTAAATCCAGAGACTACTGTCCTCCTGGCAGGGACATCCTCTCCTGCCACTCCTCTCGGCGTGGGACTTGCTGCCCCTTTCACACCAAGCTGTCAGGCTGCAGGCTGTGATGGCTGGGGCACACATCCCACTCTGCTACTGGCACCACGGAGGGGGCAGCATCCCACCACGGGGAGGGACCACTGTGGGACCTACCACACTGCCATGGATACTGCCAGGTCCACCTTGGGAGTCTCTTATGTAAGTAAGATTATATACATCCTTTAACTTTCATTTGAGGCTGGTGCCTGCCTTCCTGTCACAAGCAGCGGAGTGGCTGTCACCCTGGCACTGTACTGTGCATCCCAAAAGGTCTACTGCACCCCCATGTAGCGTGCAGGGCACAGAGCATCCCCGTGATGCAGCACACTGTCACCCAGAGTGGGAGTCTCACCAAAATCTGTGGCAAACTGGGAAGTGCAGCAAGACACCCTCAGTGTCAAATGGTGTGACAGATGGAGCATCACATGGTTTCCCCCTGCAACGGGACACCTACCCCTGTGTCTTCTTGCATTTACTAAATCCCAGATGGAGCCCCATTCCCAACCCAGGGAATGGTGGGGAAACCCAAATGGCCAGCAAAGGGCAGGTCTATGAAAGGACACAGGGTAAACAAGCTTTTGTGGGACAGTTTGTCAAATAAACCCATTTGAACAAGTATTTGTGTGCTCAGATGATTACACTGAACATGGGGTGGCAGCTAGTTGCAATTAACAGTGGTAGGACAGAGAGTATCACAAATTGTGCAAATTACACAAACTAAGGACTAGCTTAAAGCTAAGCAGACTGAGGAGAAATGTCTCCCATATTAAGCTTTCTACCCTCAGCTTATCAACGTATATTTACACCTCCATCTTGACTTTTGCATCTTTCTGTTCCTTGAGCAGATAAAAGCACCTTCCCAGGAGATGCTGACTTCACTGCCTGCCTTCACAGTGCTCCCAAACTTCAGAAAATACAGCTAGGGGCACACAAGCCTTTTCTGGTTGGTGACTAAACCAGACAAATCAGAAAGAGTGACTGGGAGCCAAAATGGTTTTATTCTAAATTTTAACTAAAAAATACCAAAAGGCAGTCACTTTGGGTCAAACAAAACCAAAATCTTTTGTTTCACTTGGATGAGCTTTTAAGCTATTCACAAACATTTTCTTCTGATAATTTAAGCCCAGTTTTAAATTTAAAAAAAAAAAAAAAAAAAAGAGGCAGTACAAAACCAAAGCACATCTTTCACTAATGTATTTTTTTACATTTAAAGTTTTTCTTCAAGTTTTCTCTTCTCCCTCCTCTCTGGATTTGTTGTTGGTTTTGTGGAGGGTTTTGTCTGATTGATGGTTTTTATTTGAACTTCTTTCTTGCCCAAAAAGATACAGTTTTTTGGGGAAGAGGGAGAGGACCTCACAAAAAACACCTAGCATGGCTTTCACGTGCCTGGTCACAGAGTATGACAGCAACCATGCAACTAGGAAAGCCCCCACCTCCCATCTCCTTCCACATCAAAGATGTGGATCCTTTCCTGCTATAAGCCCTTGCTAATTAATTAGAAGCTACACAGAGCATTTAATATCCACTCAGATCCTCACTGGGAGTTGCACTCATCTAACCAAAAGCAGAATTTAACTCTGATTTTAAACCTGTGCCTCACTTTTACATTTATTCCCCAGTCCCTGTACATTTGTTGGAGGGGGGATGGAGGAATATTTCAAGCTTTCTCCATGCAGAGATCTCAACATTTGCCGAATAATTTTCCAATAACCTTAAAATAATTTTCAGCAGTCTAAAGTACATGAGAAGACAAGAAGGTTATGAGACCCTCATCTTACCTCTTCTCTTACTGTTGTTGTTGCAGTCAGAGCCCTCACGCTCTGCATGAGGAGCAGCACAGCCACCTGTGTGTGCTTCATCTTCTCGGCCAGCAGACGTGACAGCAAAGGGACAAAGGAGGTCTTATATACTAAAGGCTGGGGATTTCCCTAACCAAACCTTGAGGAACTTGCATGATACTTTTCTAAGTTTTTGGAGAAGTGATGTCATAAACTCATATAATAATAGGTGCCAAATTACTAACGTACAAAAAACATACAAGTTACTCCATTAGAAATTAACTACATACAATTTCCTTATAGGAAAGCTTTCCCATGGTGCAGTATCTAATCTTAATCTTGGTCAGGCAGAATATCAGGTGCTTATTTGCTAGGACAGGTGGATAGGCATTTCCTCTTACTGTGACTCAATCACAAAAATTTTTATAGATTACTTCTAAGTTATGCAGACAATACAAGTCTGGGTGGTATTTATTACTTCTTATAGATACAGAGCAGAGCAGGTCTGGTTAGACTGTTCACACACCAGAAATATCCTCCCTTTTTTTCAAAAGCCAACAGACCTTTGACAATGAATAAATTGCACAGGGGTCTCTACAGCTTTTCAGTTCCCTCAATTCTCACACAGTATAGGTGGGACACAAACAGACTACCTCCTCCCATTTCCTTCCCAGAATGTCTTGTACATTAACAGTATGTACCCAGTAACGGTTGCTTGTGAATTAACACTGTGTATTCATCAATGCTTACTCACTTGCTCACTTTTTATGGAGCTGCATGCCACCTGACCACAGTGATTCACTGTCCTGTCTCTAGAAAACTGATCCAGAGAGGTAAAAAAGAGCCACAGGCAATGTCTAGTGTGGTCTTCACACTCCCCCGCACTGTGCCACGCTACCTTATGACAGGCAGTGCACTGTCTGCAGTGCCCAAGGCATCTAGTCCACCATGGGAACTCCCCACTTCCAAAAAGCTGCCACCTTGGTGGAGTCAGTCTCCATCTGGTGCAAGAGAAATAAAATTAAAATTTCTCTCTAGAGTTCTGGGGATCACTGGGAAAATGAGCTTGTTGTTTGGGTTGAAGGTTCCAGTCAGGACTAAGGGGATGACCATGTTATGCACTTGTAAAAGAAGTCAAGAAGTCCCTGGACCAAAACATGTCATCTCCTGTCCATTCCTGTGCCTGTATCATCAAAGCAGCATTTGCCATTTCCTTCTTCATTTTGTCAGACTTGGTTCTTCTACTGCGTCAACAAAGGCCTGCAGTTGTCTGTAACTGGAGAAAGCAGTTAGGAGACCCTTATTCCCTTCCAACGTTGGAGGGCAGAGGTAAGGGCAGGAGCAGCAGTACTTCTGAGCAGCAGTAGTGCCTCATGTGAAACCCATCTCCTGGGTGAGGAACTCAGGAGGCTTTCTTGCATTGCCATAGCGCTGTCAGCTCCAGGCAGCAAACGGAAAAGCTGAGACCTAGGACAGATCCATAGTAGAAAACTCTTCAAAGCAATGAAGTCCGCTGGTTGGGGTAACATGGTTTTACCACAGCTTTGCATACACATAATCCTCCTGACAGATACACAAGGCTGCCAACAGCATCTTTTTTGAGGAGTAGCTCATTTTGTAGGGAAGGGATAGAATATGTTCTTGCAAAAACACTTTTTCACAGCAGAAGCTGCATCTCCACTGGAGGATTTCATGGCTAATAATCATAGAATCATAGAATGATAGAATGGTTAGGGTTGGAAGGGACCTCCAAGATCATCGAGTTCCAACCCCCCTGCCATGGGCAAGGACACCTCCCACTAGAGCAGGTTGCTCAAGGCCACATCCAGCCTGGCCTTGAACACTTCCAGGGATGGGGCATCCACAACTTCCCTGGGCAACCTGTTCCAGTGTCTCACCACCCTCATAGTAAAAAATTTCTTCCTGATATCTAATCTGAATCTTTTTTCTTTCAGTTTAAAACCGTTTCCCCTTGTCCTATCATTACACCTCCTGCCAAAGAGTCCCTCCCCAGCTCTTCTATAGGCACCCTTCAGATATTGAAAGGCCGCTCTAAGGTCTCCCCGGAGCCTTCTCTTCTCCAGG